TTATAACTGAATTTCAATTAAAAATTTTTTACAGCTTATACACTGCAAGAAATGCTTAAGGTTATGGGAATGGCTTTATATTACACTGTGTAGAATTTATATCGCAACTTTAAAACAAAAAATAGAATGCATTGGTCGATTGTTAGTAGGCACAAGCAGGATGAGTGAGTAATTGTATCAGGAATCTCATGATAATTGGCATTCAGACTCCAGCTGCTAGAGTCATGTGAAATTAAAAATATGATTTTTTTAAACAAGTAAATTTCTAGCCCTTACAGAGAAACCATGAAAATGTGACCTCATGTATCCTAAACACTCAAAAACCTGACCTCAGACCTTACTTCCTCCTGTGCCACAGACATGTCTGGCAATCCATTTCCTCCGCGATTACGGTCAGTCGCTAGTTGTGATACTTCCTCCCAGATGATACCAGTGTCTTCAATATCCTCTGGCACTGTCTTCTGCTAGTTCCCCCTGGCCTTCCTCCCTTTCTCTTTCCTCTCTCAGGCACCCAGTTCAAGGCTGGCTTAGCACGTCTCCCATCTTCCATGTGGGGTACGTGTCCCGACGTCCTGAGCCGTCTTTCTTTGATGATAATTTCTAACACGTCTGGCTCTGGCAGCTCCCTGACTTCCCTTTGTTATTTTGTCTTTCCAGGAAATGTGTAGCGTCTTCCTCAGCCATCTGTGATCGGCCACCTCCAGTCTCTTCTTGTTAGCGCCTTCCCTCGGCCAGGTCTCTGCGCCGTACAGTAGCGTGCTCAGCACAGTCGCATGGTATAATCTGACCTTTAGTTTGGAGTGGACACCTCTGCTTGGCCAGGTGTTGTTCATCCTCCCAAAAGTGGGGTTTGCTTTTCCTGGTCTCCGATGCGTATCTTTATCCCAAATGCCATCGCACTCTACAGAGAGAGGGACTTGGACCTGTTTGTTTTCATTTCCATCCACTGTGTCAGGAATCGGGGCCTGCAGCAGAGCTAGTCTTTGGGCAACCTAACACATCCAGCTGTCCTGTAGTAGGCTGCTGGATTTGGTCCACCACCCGATTGGTGGGAGGGTCAGCACACCAGCTCTTCAGCCAAGCAGCAGCCGTTCAGCTGTGATGGCTCTTGTGCCTGCTAGTTCCCAGCCTTGCCCCTTCCTTACCGGACTCTAGGTAACCTGGCTCTGACCGTTGTCTCTGATTCCTGACCTCTGTGTCCAGTTCTGACCCTCTGCTCTGATTCTGACTTTTGAGTCTGGCTCTGACACTGGGTTCCTATTCCTGGCTTCCGACTCCTACTCTAATCATAGGTTCCAAGGCCAGAAGAGACCACAGTGATCATCTGGTCCGATCTCCTGTATAACACAGGCCAGAGACCTGCCCCGAAACAATTCCTAGAGCAGATCTAGGAACCGCTAGGCCTGACCGCCCACATCCCTGTCTCTGATACATGTTAACCTTTGCATCTGTTCTCCAGTTTCCTGCCTTCATAATCTTGGTTTTCTCTACATTTATTTTCAGTCCAGTTTTTGCTCCTGTTCTACCTCTGATGGAAGGGCAGTCGTTCTGTTCCCCGTCGTGCTTTGTAAAGCAGTGTCGTTGGCAAAGTCAACTTGTCTATGCTAAACGATTTTACCCCTTCAGCAATGCCTGTTGTTGTCTGCTTCAACACCCAGTCCATCGATAGTACAAGGCAAATTGATGATAACAGACACCCTTGTCTAAGTCAAGTCACAATATCGAAACACTCACCCAGGACTGTATCTGATCCTACTGCATGTTTGCTTCCATCATATAAACTCCTTATTATGTTGATAGCTTGTCTGGTATCCCATAGCTTCTAGCAATATTTCATGGGTCTCTCTATGGACACTATCAAACTCTTTCTTAAAGTTAATTCAGATGGGTTTGCCAAGCAATAGCTTTTTCAATGATCTGTCGAAGAGCGAATATCTGTTCACAACATGATCTACCTGGACAGAACCCAGCCTGTTCTTCTTGTAGTATGGCACCCACTGTCATCTTCATTCTGTTCAGCTGATGGTAGCCAATACTTTGCCTGGCATTGATAGCCTTACAATACCTCTCCTGTTCATGCCCTGAGTAAGATCCCTCCTTTTTTGGCAATGCCACGATGATACCATCTTTCCAGTCTTGTGGCACTTGTTCTTTCACCCATGTTTGGTTCGTTTTGTTAGCGGCTCAGTCAGAATATTGCCTTCTGCCTTCAGTACCTCTCCTTCAATTCTGTCAGTCCCGGGAGCGTAGACCTGTTTGAGGACTTCGATGGCTGCTATAATTTCATTGGGTGTTACTGGTCCCGCTTCTATTTCTAACTTAGCGTTGGCATTTCTCAAACCTGTGCATAATCATCAGCTCTGTACAGTTTAATGTTCTTTCCGTTGTCTGGCTTGTTCTTCAGATGTTTTCAGCATCTGTCCATGAGAGTCCCTGAAGGGCATCACAAGGGATGGTCTGGTTCTTCCTGAGAGGTTTTTCACTGTTCTGTAAAGATGCTTGAAAGTTTCCCTTCTGTGCTTCTGCAACCTCCTGACCCCAGACATTTCTCTCTTGCCTGCATCTCTCCTTTATTTCTTTGTCCCTGTGTCTTGCAGCCACCTCTAAGAGTTCTGCCTGTCTTGCACTGTTCCTTTTTTGCCTTCAGAGCTTTGTCAATCATTGCTCATATTCCAGATGTAATCCATGCATCTTCCTTCTGCCTCCTTCGGTGGCTCAGTATTTCCTCTGTTATCTCGACTACCATCTTCTATCAGTTTGACCATCTGTCTTCCAGATTTTCATCAGCCTGGTCCTGTAAAACACTGGAATGGTTGCTAAGTGCAATCTGATCTGTGTTTCTTTGTCCTTGAACTTCTCTATTGCTGTAGCACTCCTGTTGCCCATCTTTGTGATCTTTTTGAGTCTACGTTGTAACATGGCTACTAAAAGATAATGATCTGAGCAAACATCTGCTCTTCTGCTGATTCTGACATCCTTCAAAGAAGATGCCCATCTGTTAGTTATACACTCATGGTCTATCTGATTGACAGTCACATTGTCTGGTGGACTCCCTGTGAGCCTGGGAGTACTCTTGTGCTGGAAGAGACATCCTCCTCTCTTATAGGGGTTTGTACCACAGAGATTCAAGAGCCGTTTGCCATTATCAGCTTGGATGCCTTCTGCTGCTGAGCCCAGCCAGTAGAGTTGTTGCCACTTTGTGCTTGGAAGTCTCGCCTGTCATCAGCTTGATGTTGTGGTTAGGCACGACATCCAGGACTGCCGCACCTGCTTGTAGACTGAATCCTTTTCACTGTTGCTTGCTGTGCGTTTGTTGGTGCATATCCTTGGATTATTGTTCCCTTGACATGTCTTGTTTCAACCTGGTGGTTGTTCTGTCTTTCACTGGTTCCCAAGCCAGCAGGATTTTCACTGTGATGTTGTCCAGCATAATTCCTACGCTTCTTTTCTATGTTCCTCCTGAGTCGACAATTGTAGCGCCTTCAGATATCATCTTCCCACTCCCTGCCCATCTCGTCCCACTATTACACCAAGTATGGTCAGATGGTATTTTTTCATTTCTCTTGTAACCTGTGCCAGCTTTGCCGTACCATACAAAGTAGGTACATTCCACCTGCCTAGTCTTGTTACAGCTTTGGTCATTAGGATTCCATGTCTCAAGATCTCCGCTTCCTTTCGGCTTTCACTGAGCTCTGTCACATGTGGGTTTTGAGTGTCCTCTGCACCCACTGTCCCCAGGTTTTGGTTTAACTCTTTCTGTTACAGTAACGTTTTAGCTGAGTGGGTTGCAAACCTAACTGCAGAACCCTCCTTTTTTATCCAGGCCTGGGACCAGCACTGTGGCTAACAGTGGCAAAGTTCTCAAAAAGAAAAACAGCAACAACAAAAAGAATCCCCACATGTACAGCTTAAAAATCATGAGATTTTGTTACGATCTCACGATTCTTGGACATTTGGGGTTGGAGACTCTCTGTTAAGGGCACTTACAGGGGGATCCCAGCACCCAGGGACACAGCCCATGGGTCTGATTCCAAGACGGTGAGCCTTCCTGGATTTGCAGGCTGCAATGTCTCTCCTCTGTGCTGTAAGAGCTGATATAGGGATAAGTCAGAAGATTGGGTTATCCATGGTTATAACTCAGTGATTCCTTTGCTTGGATTGGATTCTTGAATAGCTTTCCAGCTAGCAAAGGATTCTCCGCTTCTTCCTGGCCCTGTTGCGCCCTTGGTTTCTTGCTCCTGCTTTCCACATCCTTTGTGTAAAGAAGGCTCTCCAGATTGAACCTCTGGCGGGGAGGTAGTCACCAAAGTCCTAGTGTTTGAATACAGACACGGAGCGCAGCTGAAAGGGGAAACTGATGCTGTAGCTGTCTTTTATGGAGCAAAAGCCAGCACAGCTTCACCAGTGGTGTGTCTGCAGCTCTGGCAATAGGGCATGCAAGTCAATTCGGGCTCACAGGTTTCAGAGCAAAGTGGTTTAAAGTTAGACCATAAACAACAGTGATTTACTGCATGTTTTAGTTACGACGGTGAATTTAGGAACCAGAGGGGCTTTTCCATCAAACTCTCATTTATGGGCATGAAACCACTTGGCAGTTTCTTCTTTGCTTCCTCTTTTTTAGGTCCTTTTGGCTCTTTTCTATTCTTATTTGCTGGATATTGGCTGACTGCGAGCTCCATCCTTCTCTAGGTCCAGCTGGAACTGGGACCTGGGGGAGACCAATTTCCTGTTAAATAAATATAGTCACGCCAGCCCTCTTCAAAAGCATTCGAGAGGCCATGCTCTCCCCTTTTGCTGGGCTTGTCATGCTCTGGTCTGAGCTCGGGGGCTGGCGCGCCGGTGGGGCTCTCCTGCATGAATTGGGGGTGCTATGGTTGTAAAGCAAAGCACTTGGAGTGTTGAGATGGTTTATAAATCCCAAAGCCTTATAAACTTCCGCGCCCCCTTTGCTTTGGCATCTGGGAGCTGTGCAACAATGACACTCTATTTTCCCTTTCTAGCTGCCGGAGCAGTAACAGGAAAAGCCTGGTGGTGGGAACGCCGTCTCCAACCCTCTCACGGCCTCTCTCCCCGCTCTCTGTGCCTACAGGTAGGAAAGGTCTGAGCTCCGGGGAGCAGGATATGCACCTGCTGTGGTTTTATCCTGGTTACTTTGGAGGGGCAATGCATGGCCCTAAGGTACCTTGCTGGCACCTTCAGTCCTTGCAAGATTCTTCGTTGGAAGGACTGGAGAGGCAACACCAGGTTGCCCTTGTGGGGTTTTTTTCTTATTCAGATGATTATGAAATCCCTTCTCGGTGGTGCATGTGCTGTGGGAAGATGCTGTGTGCCAGCAGTGTTGGTTTCTCTATTTTAGCAGTAACCTGGGTGTCAGCCCCTTGTGACGGGCGTGTGTGTTAGACTTGGGAGTTGTATCTATTGCAGAGTGGCAGCTGCACATGACATGGGTTAATAAATAAAGATAGGAGTGGGGGGAGGCCATGTTTTAACTTCGTCCTTGTAGCAGTTGCGGTTGTCGTGACAGTGACAGGGACAATTACCTTCCCACAGGATGTCTCCTGTCTTCAGGGAATGGGTTTATTTTCCAATAGGAATATAAGAAATCTTTACATCACAATTTACTTTGTGACTGTAACCTTAAGTAACCCCTGCTGTCAGAGGCGAGATCCCAGACAACAAGCCAATGGGCTGGATCACATGTTGCATTAATTTCTCTCTCTCTGTCTGCAGCTGGGAGCAGCCCTTTGGATAGCCCACGGAACTTCTCCACTAGCACGTCTGTCAGCTTTCCCTTTGCTCGCAGGTAAGCTGGGGCTGGCTTCCTTCTTCCCTCTCCTACCCCCAGCAGAGAAAGTAAATACCAGCAGACAGTGTTGGACTGAGAGAGAAGTGAAAGACTCAGCTCACATTTACAGTATTGCTTTCATGGCAAAAGGTGGTGCAGTGGGTAACTGCTGGCTTCTGCCTTTCACCTCCAGAGAGCAGTGTCTGCATGGTGCATGTGCTCATGAGTGAGAATGTGCTTGGGCGTCTCATCATGTTCTTTAATTAATCCATGGCACAGCTCAGTGTGATAATCTGTCTCTGTTCAAGAGTTGCCCATGGCTGAAGTGAAAGGGCCAGGGGGATTTGCAGGGCTTGGACTGACTTGGTCCAATGGCAGAGTCACTGCACAAACTCTGCCTGCTTTGCACCTGACTCAAGCCAGAACTAACATAACAGAGGAAAACTCCTTATTTTGGGTTGTGGGTGGGTGTTTAGAGACAGCCCCAGCTGGGTAGGAAGGGGAGGCCCTCTTTCCTGAGTCCCTTCAAAGCACTTTGTTAGCTGAAGCATTTGTCCCCAGAGTTCTGCTGTGTGCAGATTTCCCCCCTTAGCTCTTTGGAGACTGCGTGAGCTGTGATGCCTGCTAGAGCTGTCACCGTTCCCCACGAACAGAGAGAATACGGTAACCCGTGCGCCTAGGAAACGACAGCAAGCCTGGGAGTGTGGTTCTCGGTTACCGTCTTGTTCTTTTTTTCCTTCTTTTTGTTTGTCTCTTTCCTCTGCCTCTGTGTCTCGCTCCCTCTTCCTGGCTGATAATCTCCCACCACCCTGCAGTCATGCTGCTCGGACTGACAGGTAATTACGAGAAGGAACCAAGCCTTTCCAGAGAGAGGTGTGGAATGGAGGGGGCCTGTGTTCAGTGGGTAATGCCTGCTCCACTTTGACGTGTCCCTTGTCTCGGTGTGTTTGTACCTCGCTTGTCCTGAGCATAACCCCCATTGTGGCAGTGCCCGATTTAATCAGTCTGTGACTGGGCTCCATAATTCTCTGCGGCTCCAGGAACAGACACGGCTCTGTTCCCCTCACATGGCCGTTGGCCAGGAGTCCAGACCCAAATTCTGCCCCACTTTAAAACTTCTCACCAGATTATAAACAGTGTCCTGGATTCTAAACAGCTGCTCCTCTGAAATCTACAACTAGGTCACCAGGAAAAATCGCCAATGCATGTACAGGGTGGAGATGGGAACAGTGCTCTCCAGGCCCTGCTGGGTTGATGCCATTAACCTCCCTGGTGTACGTAGGCAGAAATAAACAACCAGGAAGTCAAGTTTAATTTCAAGAATCATTAGGGAAAATGGGGAGTGTTAACTCCTTGTTTGCCAAATGGGAAAGAGCTAGGATGAAGCAAATGAGACTTTATTCTCAAGCTGCTAATGATGGGAAAACAGAAAAATGATGATGCAAGCAACTTACGAGGCTGAGCCGGCTCCTGATGCGAGAGCCCTTGGCACTGCTAAAGGCCTTACTGTGGGGGCTTGGCCGATTCTCATAACTTATCCCGGCGAGCTGCTGGGATAAAGCGGGAATTTTCCGTAATATTTTCATGACTCCTATGTGTGCCTCAGTTTCCCTCTGTACTTTGTATTGGTACCCAGTGAAGGGAAAAGGGTCAAGTCTGCTCTTGGGGACAGCACAGGACATGAGGTCCCCTTGCTGGCTGGGCTGTAGCGAATAAGCTCCTTAAGAAACTGGTTGAAACTGACCCAAATCAGCAGAGGGTCCAGCAGGACAATGGAAGCCCCAAGGACTGAACAAAGCTCTGGGGCGGGGTGGGGGTGAACTCAGCATGGCCCTACCTGGAGACAAAGGACGAGGAGGTGACCAGCAGGGGATAAAGAACAGGCCGCTGGAAGAAGCTGGCAGCTCTCTCCTGGGACTGGCTAAGGAGTCCAAGAGAGAGACCGCCTGTGATGGAATTCGCTGCAGTTTGGCTGGTGGATTGCTCTGGCTTGGCTGGAATGAACTATTTTCACCTTCATTTCTCTGTGCTAATCTGAGGACTCCCAGTGCCGCGTTCCAGTTGACTGACTAACCCTACTGTGTTTGAAAAACACTGTGTGGTGTCCTGCACATCTGGCTGCAGTGCCTCACTCCCTGGGGCATGTACCAGTCTCGAAGCAGGAGTCTCTCAGTTGGACTCCCTGAGCAGAAGTCACAGCATGAAGCAGGAGGGCTGAAGCCCAGAGGCTCAGTCTCGAAGGCAGTGTGGCTGCGTGGCCGTTCCTGAAGGAACAGTGAGAGACCTTGGGGGTCCTCCAAGAGACTGTTTAAAAGCTGGGGCATAGCCCCGAGCCTGTGGCTCCGTGGCAGCTGGGTTAGGCAAATGGGGAAGCTGAGGCCAGAGAGGTGAAGTGACCTACACAGTGAGTCAGTGACAGGGACGTAGCGCACTGGGCTCGGCTCCCAAGCCCTTAGTCTACTAGAAAACACTCCCAGCAAAAATACCCTTCTAGGTTTTAAATTTCTGGCATCTTGTTTATAGCGGGGGCGGGGTGGGGGCGCGTCCATTGTGCGTGTTCGCTTTTCATACGCTCGTAGGAATCGTGCTGTTCTGTAGAATAAAATCCCAGGGGCCCAAATTTAACTCTCATTAAAAATCCCAACCTAACGTTTTCCCCTCCCTAAGTGGATTTGTTCAAGCGCAGTCCTGGAAAGAACACAGAATAGAGCTGTCACACGGAGTTGTCACCCGCTCACTGACTGAGAACAGCACCAGTTCATAGGGACACGTGCACCAATTTGTCCCTCTGCTGCAGCAGGGACATAACCTAGTTTCTAGGATTCTGGCATTACATTCCCCTCAGCCATAAAATTAATTGTACAAAGTCGTTATTACTTATGTGAAGTGATATCAAAATACATCTGGCATAAGAGGCTTTGGATTGCAGCTGGCTGGGCCAGAGCGAGGTGCCTGTTCCTGCCCACAGCACTTTGACATTCATTGTTCCTTTGTTTGCATTTAAACAAAGTTTTCCCTGTGTGATCCGTGTGTTTCCTATTGCAGGGCTGATGGCAGAAGGTGGTCACTGGCTTCGCTACCCTCGTCTGGCTATGGGACTAACACCCCCAGTTCCACTGTCTCGGTAAAGCTATCCAGCCGTCTGTAACAGGAGAGGGAAATCTGAAATAGTGGCTGCCTGGTGTGCCTGCCTCAGTTTCACCTTCAATTGTTCCCAGAAATAATCTAAACACTCCTTGAGTATAAATACAGCCCTTGGAGGGTTAATTTAATACAAACAAAAGCTCTTTGTGTACAAACTGTAACAACACAAGTCCCCACAGTCCATCCATGAACCTCAGCATCTCTCACCACACTCTCCTCTCTGGTATGGTGTTAGTGTCCCTCCCCATGCCTCGTGCCTGGGCTTCAGCCTCTCTAAGGTCCTCTGGCTTCAGCTCTACAGCCCAGAGAGCCAGCAGGCATCTCCTGCCTTCTCTGACATGGGAAGATCAGCAGGCTAGCCCCATCTGGTCTCTCAGCCCTTCTCAGCTTCCCGGCTCTGGCTCTCTGGTGGCCCCCTCCATTGGCTTCCTGACCATTCCTCCCTCTTTCTCGGGAGGGCCTCATGAGCCCGGACACCTTCTCCAGTCTCTGGTCCCTAGTGCCCTCACCTGACTCACCCAGTCTGTCTCCTCAGGCCCAGGTGCCTCTTTTAAGCCTAACTGGGAATCAGAGGCTCTAGACTCTCCTCCCTCCGAAGGGGCCAGTGCCACCATGTGACATGGGGTTTAAATCTCCCCTGAGCTCTGTAGTCTCCATTCCTCAACATCGCATTCTCTGGAGCTTCTCTGCATGGCCAGATGTTTTGTTCAGATGTTATTTTTACAGTGTGCTTCTGAGTTAGCTGCAGCACTTTGTAGATGGCAGGTTCTTTTTTTGCAAGTGAATACTGGGGGCTGCACGTCTGGGTTGGGGTGCACTGTGGAGCTGTTTGGGGAGCCCAGGACTGTAACAGAAGAGGATGCTACAGACTGGGACTGAGGGTCTGTAGGGAGCTCGAATAGCAGAGGAGTCGCAGGTCAGAGCTGTCTGGGGCAGCTCGGACAGTGCCTGATCTCATGGTGGTTGAGGTGGCGAATGCAATCCATTTTTCACACTTGTGTGCAGCAAATTTGGGAGCGTTTGTAAAAGGCCCACAGGCTGCCCGTCAGTATTTCCAGTCTATTAAAGGAGTCCGAGGCAGCTGTTTCTAATGAATTCTCTGTTTCCATCCTGCTCCTATGGAGGAATTTAGGTGTCTCCTAACCACTTGCATTTGTTGTTCTATCCAGTCGTCTTCATCCTCTCAGGAGCGTCTGCACCAGTTACCGTACCAGCCCACCCTCGATGAGCTGCATTTCCTCTCTAAGCATTTCCGCAGCACAGAGTGTGTCACGGACGAGGAGGGGCGCCGTTCCCCCTGCCTGCGGCCACGATCCAGGAGCCTTAGGTATCCAAAGCCTCTGGCTGCCCCGAGTTTTCCAAAATGTATATGTGTGTGTGTGTGTGTGTGTGTGTGTGTGTGTGTGTGTGTATGTGTGCGAGATTTTGTGTCGGATGCCTGTAAATGATGCTGGTGAAGGAGGCATTTCATTGTCCCAGGCACTGCCAGACTGGAGCAGGCCCATCTCTGTCTGATGCAGGCTGGCACTTGCTGCTTCAGAGGAAGGCACAGGAAGCCCCCTAGTGGACAGTTATGGAATAGCCTGGACACAGGTTGGCTGTACCAGTCTGATTCTCTGCTCTCCGTGAGAGTCTGGTGGTGTGAAACTTGGTACTTCTTCTGCTTTACTACACAGACCCTGTTCTGCAGAAATGCCACTGCTTTCCCTGCAGCGCTTCCATGAATGGAAAATGGCGGGAGTTTGATTCTAAAGCACAGTGCAATAAATCTCACGCTAATCCTTTTGGTGCTCCCGGGCCTCTCAGGAGGCTCTCCTCTGGACTTGGTGTACAGGCCATACACAAGTCTGCTAGCATCAGGCTTTTGTTACTGGAAACTGTTTACGTCTGAGACGCAGGCTCTTGAAGCTGAGATTACAGAAGCTTTGTTTGAAGCGCCTTGTTATGTTTATTTTGTGTCCCTCTGTTGGGACTCATGCCTTCACGCTGACCCTTGGGGGTGTCACAGCACATTGAGAGGTAAATTCTCAACTGATCCTAAGATCAGATCAGGGCATACCTGAAAATCTGTCCTTGCAGACCCTACTGCAGGTTGGGATCAAAGTCAAGAGGCCAGGAATCAGACTTACCGTTGAAAGATTTTTAAAAAATCTGTTTATGTAACTAGATCTAGAAGCATTATGTGTATTAAATAAAAGCTAGGTGCTCTGTGTACATCTGTTTGCAATGCCTTTTTTCTTCCCTCACCCCCGTTCTCCACAACCATTGCTTTTTAGAACCCAGAACCGCAAGCAGGTGTACAGCATTCTCAGAGATTTCATGCAGTGTATTTGTGTGTAGATGCATCTGTCTGTTCCCTTCTTGTACATAGGCACATTGCATGAAATTCACAAGAAAGGTCCAGCATGGGAGTGCAGCAGAGAAGTACAAGCAAGAATGCCTGGCAACTCCTCCTCAACTTCTGCACCTTACAATAGACTAAACATGCAGACCTCCTGAATTTGACAGTGCCCCTTCATAAACTTGCTGTGCATTGGGATGTCAAGTTTCCATTCATTGGTTTGTTCTCCAGTTGTCAAGTGCAGCAAGTTTGCATCCTCACAGGGAATATTTCAGTTAAATACTTTTTCCCGTGGTGGAATGTGTTTAGAGGCCTCATTTGTAACCAGGCTTCTCTGGGTTCTTATTGGGCGAGAGCTGTAATTGGTCCTGGGCTTTGTCGCCTGAAATTTCATTAAAATTAGATTAATTATCTCAAGGGCTTTACAAGTGGATGAATGCTAGTTATATGGCTGCCATCACTTGTACATAGCACATACAAAGAGTCCCTTGCCAGGCTGCGGCTTACTTCTTAGTTACTGAAATGAGAACGGGGGGAGAGTTGAAACTGGTTTTGATCTTGGCATTTGTTATCTCTTGGTTAACGAGTTGGTGGCTGCTCCCTGTAACTGGCTTTGTGTAACAGGATTAAGATTCTGGTGGTGGCGTTGTGGCCAGGGGAGAAAGGAGGATCCACTGAATTCACTGGTGGCCTAAAAAAGTTAAACAATTCATGTGAAGATCCCTCTGTGCCCTGCAAAAAACTAAAATCAGTTGTTTTGCTGCCAGCAGTGAAAAGGCAACTACAGCAGCAGATCGAGAGACCCTGGGTGTCTGTCACACTGCTGGCCTGCTCACAGGTGGCTGTGGTCTAGGCATCTCTCCAGTGGCATTATACTTTGCTGGGACTGGGGCGAAAGGGAAAGCAAAAGGACAAGCCCTTTCTTTAATGGACGCATTAGTCTCTCAGCTCTGGAGACCTAGATTCAAAACTACCTTGGCTTATAAATGCCATGAGTTTGGAGGTCGGAGTAGCTTATTGCAGACAGTTGTTCAGATCAGACAGCTGCCAGGCAGTCTCTTCTGTCGGCCAGTCTCTCCTCCTGGAGAGACCTGTGGTAGACTAACAGGTAGGGGTGCTGACTGGGAATGTGGTAGGAGATGGTCCGCAAGGGGCGGAGGGATAGCTCAGTGGTTTGAGCATTGGCCTGCTAAACCCAGGGTTGTGAGTTCAATCCTTGATGGGGCCATTTAGGGATCTGGGGCAAAAATCTGTCTGGGGATTGGTCCTGCTTTGAGCAGGGGGTTGGACTAGATACCTCCTGAGGTCCCTTCCAACCCTGATAGTCTATGATTCTAAGTCAGGAATGAGGAGCAGTTCCCGAGGGGAAGCTCCAGGGCAGCAGTGAGTTGTGTTGCTGTTGGTGCATTGGGGAGCTGTATTTGGGGGTGCAGGTGCCCTGGGGGAGTCACTGACTGTCAGGATGCTGAGTGCTTGGTGTGAATGTGCTTTAATGGCTTGTGAAACGTGGCAGTTGAATAGAAAACAAAGTGTGATGAGTCTCCAAAGGCATTTAAGACGGCACAAACCCATAATTACTTGGTTTTCTGAAGATAAACCTGTTCTTTCCCCCCAGCCCTGGACGAACAAGTGGAGCTTTTGATAATGAGATTGTTATGATGAATCACGTCTACAAGGAACGATTCCCGAAGGTAACTGCCCGGAGCTCAGAAAGATGATTCGAACATAACATATCTTCGGCTTTTCAGCAATTCAGTCTCTAGCAAAATCATTTCTGTTCTTTGTCCTGGGACACAAAGTGTACCTTACAGGGGCGGTGTATGAGGGGGCTGGAAACCTGGTAATTCACTGGGGGGAGAGCAGAAGATTCATAATGTCCTCTCCCGGTCACCGTGGAGCATGTGTTACTGCAGCAACATGAAACTGTCTCAGTAACAGTCTCTGGACACCACTTCTTGGTTAAAACAATGTCCGTGTAAGCACGTGAATATTGTGCTGAGATTTTCAAATGAAACAATATCAGCGCAGTCACAGCGCAGTCTAAAATAGCGAGACATAATATCACAAAAGCAGGGAAATGCTCGTTCCGGCTGTTTGTACAGCTGCATTGGTCCTAGGGTGCCATGGCACAGCTCAAAGTCGCATATGTAAGAGGAACATTCTTTCCAGCACATCCCTAATGTGAGGATTAGTACAACTATTTTGTACGCTGCTGGCATGCTGCAGTCATAAAGGACAGCCCAGTGCGTGCCAGCCTCCGGGTCTGGACTAGCTGGGATCCAGGCTTAGGTGCTGCATTACCTGGGCACAGCAGCTCAGAGTTAACGTAACTTCCAGCAGCAGCTTTTCCATTTTGTCAGCTGGCAATTTCCCGGCTGCGAGCCTGCCCGGGGAGATAATAAACAAAGCAACAAGCCCCTTTGTTTTAATCCTTCCTCTGGTTTCATATGTTTCTACTTAAAGGTTTATGGGGGGAAAGAGCTGGTAATGCTGAGTGCCAGATCACTTGGAAATGACCCATCTCTGATGCGCTGTCATACTGAGAGGCCTGTCCTGCAGCTAGGAGTGTTTGGACCACAAGGGTCTGCTCTGCAATCTTCTCAGAAGGACGTTCAGGAATGGCCGCTCTCTCTGTCTCTAAATGAACCCAGGCTTGGGTGTGCACTGGGGCTTTTAGCCAGTGGGGTAGCTGCACCTGTGCAAACCACAGGGCCAGAGCCTTCAGCTGGTGTAAACTGCCATAGCTCCAAGTTCACTCCAGCTGAGGATATGGCCCCTATGTAAATGTGCTGCACTTGTGCAGGTCATGGCTTGCCCCGGGGCAGCGCACTTGAGTTTGCACTGGGTCAGCTGTGCTGATGGCTAACACCCGGATGTAGGCTCAAGGTCTCAGTCCCCCTGTAGTCATCTCCTGCTCTGCCCTGCAGGCCACAGCGCAGATGGAGGAGCGCCTGCAGGGGACCATCACTAGCTGCTCGTCTAGCAGTATGCTGCCCCTTGCTGATGGCGTGCTGGGGTTCATCCACCATCAGATCATTGAGCTGGCCCGAGACTGCCTGGCCAAGTCCCAACAAGCTCTCATCACGTCACGCTACTTCATGGAGCTGCAGGAGAAACTGGAGAAAATGCTCCACGATGTGAGTGTTTGGGTGTTCTCACAATCCCCCCTCCTCCCAACCCTGGCCCCCCACTGACACTGGCTGTTTGGTGACCTGGGCATTTGTCTCGTTCTCTGTAGGCCCAGGAGCGTTCAGAGAGTGAGGAAGTGAGGTTCATTGACCAGCTGGTCAGGAAGCTGCTGCTAATAATATCCCGCCCTGCCCGCCTTCTGGAGTGCTTGGTAAGTAGTACTGCGTGGCCTGCCAGACTGTGCGCATATGCAGGTCTCTGTCATGGGTATGCCTCATTTGGAAAGGGAAGTGCTCGTTACTCATGGAGTAAATTAGAAAGAATCACTTCCTGCAAAACAGCTTGATCCACATTCGTGCACCCAACAACTCAAAAACAGTGCAGCTCCTCTGTTGCGTGCGCAGTAACTGAGTAACCCTAACACAAGCTTGCCTGTAGTCACTAACCCGGCCACCGAGCTTCAGACTCACCGTTAGGGAACTTGGTCAGGGATCAGAGAGAGACGATGAAGACATTCAGATCTTTAGATCCATGAATATTACAGTACAGGACGGTGCTGGGTTTCCTTGTGAGGTGGGAATGTCTAATCTGTTTTTCTTTTCTTGTCCATCTTTACCTTTTATCCGTTACACTTAACCTCCAGCACACATTCTCCTTTGGTTATTAATCCACCTTGAAAACCTAAAGTTATCGGTGGCACATTTCCAAATCTCTCTCAGTAGGGCTAGTCTGAGAATTGTTTACAGATGGAAGGAACATAGGTATGTCAGCTCAGGCATACAGCCAGCTTGCCCCCTGAATTCTGGGCCATGGGCACATGGCTGGATTTTTCAGCCAGGGATTACACTGGAAACGCAGACACAAACCCAAGATCAGGGGAGCTGTGGTTTTCCTGCAGAGGTCTGATGCCCAGGTAGCATCCCATAACTCCAGAGCTAAAGGGAACCCTATCATTGCAATCTATGACAGTGACTCTAATTCCATTTAAGAACATCATAGTATATCAGGGTTGGAAGGGACCTCCATAGGTCATCTAATCCAACCCCCTGTTCAAAGCAGGACCAATCCCCAATTTTTGCCCCAGATCCCTAAAATGGCCCCTTCCAGGATTGAACTCACAACCCTGGGTTTAGCAGGCCAATGCTCAAACCACTGAGCTAACCCTCCCCCCTGCGTACTGTGAGGCCTGGAACCCAGAGTCATGTCTGGCTTTCTGCTGGGGAAGCAGCCTGTGTGGTGGTGGAGGTGCTTTTATTTAGGGACACAAAGGCAGAACTCATTTCTTGACTGCAATTTTTCTCCTTTGGCTAGGAGTTTGATCCTGAGGAATTCTATCATCTTCTGGAAGCCGCGGAAGGACATGCTAAAGTAGGCCAAGGAATAAAAACTGATATCCCGCGGTACATCATCAGCCAGCTGGGGCTTGCCAAGGACCCTCTGGAGGGTAGGGATGTTTTACAGCTCTTGGACTGTGTCTGGCTGAGTGACCAGGGGATCAGGAACAGGAGAGGGAGCCTCTCGCACATGGCTGTTGCCAGTTAGAGCTAGCATGTGTTGGAAGGTCTCTGCTACTCCCAGGCTAGGAGCTGCCCAAATCCCAAAAGTCACCGCTGCAGTTAACGCTAGTGGCAGCTTGCTGACATTCTCAGCCAAAGGAGAAGGACTGAACAGGCTCTTCTGAGGGTGGTACCTCCAAGGCAAAGCGGGGTGGTGGCGTGGCTGCATGGGGTGGAGACGTTTGTGCTGCCCCTGCCTGTGCTGAAAGTGCTCCACGGACAGACCGAGAGCTTGTCGCTCCAGTACACCTTGCTGCTGGGCAGAATGACAGAGATGGACCCGCACTATGAAACGAAACCAAAGCAGATGCGGCAGGACTGTCAGCAATCGCTATGCAGCCAGCAGGGCGGGTCTAGGTAGCTGTTGGTGTATCCTCTGGGCTGCCCTTTCCCCTCAACTCTGGTGAAGTGACAGTGCAGATGTTTCCTAATGTGTGCGTAAGGCAGTAACCCCCTCCCAGGCCCGCAGTGCAGGTGACTGCTGCCGGATGGGATTTGTGCTTTCTCCCCACTGGATCTTGCTCTGTGGTAAGTGTATAAACATTGCATCCCCAAATGCGGGTTCACGCAGAATGCAGGCTGCGATGTGACCTGCCCAAGTGTTAAGGTTCCGATAGCATCACATTGCATTGGAATAGATGCTTATGAGGCCAATCAGGAGATCTCCGAGACCAACGGGTAACTCTTTCTTCAGCAAGTTCTGACTGATCCTTATTGGAATTAGCCTTGAAGTTGTTGCTGTTGGAAAGGTACCTCTCTCGATGCTGTGGTAGCGAGGGTTCAGATGGCTTGTCCAGGGATTCGCGCACAGGGCTGAAGCAGTCTGTGCAGGGATAAAAGTGCATCAGCTTCCAAACCCACCCGTGCTTGGACTATGGCAGTGGAGTGGGATGTGCATTCCAGGCCTGTATCCAAGTCTCTGCATGCCAGAACCAAATTCTCCTTCATTATCGCTCGCTACATATTAAATACAGTAGATTACTTTCAAGAACACTTAATCCATGGGAAGCCAAGGCCTGTGGGGGAACGCAGAAAGGACTGTGCAGAGTAGTTAGAATTATATAAATGTTTAACCCCTTGATGCCAGGACCCTGAATTTCCCTGCATGAATGGGGCTGCAGGCGGGCAGACATCAAAAAGGTTGGGCCTACAGAGTTGTTAATGGGCGTCTGCAGAAACGTCTGAACACAGAGTGGGGTATGGATGGTGACACTTTCTACTCTGGGCATTAGTTTTTGTTAGTGGTAAAGGCCTCCAAGAGCCCGAAGCTTCCATTCTGACAGATATCTGTGAGTCAGGCTGCCCGCTGCCTGCCAAGCTTCCTTGTGGTGTTTTGGTGCTCCCAGCCCTAGGAGGAACTGAGCTTGGACTTGCAGAGGGATGGGGGAGAGACCAGAAGTTAGTCAAGCACTTGAGGATGGCAGAGGCTCGATGTGGGCAAAGTTTTGTATGTGTTCTTCTTTATCCAGACCAGTTTGCTGATCCCAAGTATATAGCAGCCCATTACATCTGCAGTCAGAATATTGGCTGCAGAGGGGTTGTGTGTGCAGCAAACCCAGACAATGCAGTGGGAGTGGGCCAGGAAAAGCATCTCTGCGGCTTTTGGTGAAGTTGGCACCCAGTGCAGGTTGCTCAGTGAACTTGTGCGAGGCATCTCGTGTGTAGACGGCACCTTCTGCTAGCCTGATACTAGCTGCGGCAGCAGGGTCAACCCTATGTCTGGAAAAGGTGGTCAATTTTCTAACAAAAAACTTCTCCAGAAGGGAGCAGTGTGCAAATCTCAGTGGAGTTCCCTTAATCCAGGATAGATGGGTTTCAGTTCCTCCTCCCTCTGAAGCAGCAGCAGCGTGTCTGTGTAGTCTGTTGAATTCCTGACAGCTAGCTCTTTCCGTTTTTCTGCAGAAATGGTTCAGCTGGATCATTTTGATAGTGGGAACACCATGACCCCAGAGAATGACGACTCCCATGAGGTAAGGCCATCCAGCCTGAGTTAGTGTTCGCATTTACCAACCAGCTTCTCTGACACTGAGCACATTAACTCTTGGCAACCCGTATAAGGCAATGCCAGGAGGCTGTCTGCATTCCCAGGGAGCCTGGAGATGGAATTGTCCATCCATAGAGAGTTGCTGAAACTGTGTGAATTTTTGAAGGTACATGTCTTATGGACACCCCTATTCCTGTACATGGATCCTCCCGTTGGCACCTGGACACGTGGAACGGGCATGTGCTTGACACAGTTTTGCCTTGACAGTTCACTGTTTGTAAAGTGCAGTTGATTTCTGATGTGGTGGCTTCTAAGGATGCTGAGCAACAACCGCCTGCTTTGAGTGTAGGTCTAGGTTTGCTTTTACTGGTCAGACTAGCGAAAGCCTCCCTTTGTGTGATGGGCACCATAGGGGGAGGGAAGGGTGGGCAGGAGCGTTTCCCAGGGCTAGCGAATTGTGGAGGGGAAGCATACGCTGTATTTACAGTCACAGTGCCGGGATGTGCAGAAAGATCAAACACCCCTTTGTGTGTGTCTCACGCAGAGCCGGGCCTCAGCTGCCGCTTCTCGGAGGAAACCCTGTGAGAGTGACTTTGAGACCATCAAGTTGATCAGCAATGGGGCCTATGGGTAAGTTGAAGAGAGAGCCTCTGCTTCAGTGCAGGGCGCTCAGGAGCTTACCGGCTTGGGGCTGCGCTGAGCAATCCACCCACTGGCTTTTTGCAAACGATCTAAGTGTGAACTAATCACCTTAGCGTTGGGCCTGGCCTGAGCAAGACCAGCTCCTCTGGAAAGAAGGCACAATGCTGGTGAGTGCAGAGAGGGACAGAGCAGGCCTGGTATCTTGCTTACTGTGTCGGTCTTGGCACTTTAACGCGACTCCATTGAGTGTGTCATTACAGCTACTGCACATAAATCCTTCTGGCGAGGAGCAGCTTGCCACGTTTGACAATGGCGCCTGCCTCGCTGCTGGGGTTGTAAATAAGGCCAGTGTTCAGTAAGAGGATGCGGCTGGCAGCCTGCTTGCAAATGTCCTGCTTGCAAATGCCCGTTGTAATTGACCTATTTGTCAAATATCACCCTTTGCACGTGGGGGACGCAGTGCTTGGCAGGTTAGCGGCTAACCTCCCGAAACCCCATGCCAGAGTCCTGAGCACCTGCTCGCTGTCACTGGGAACTGCTCCGGGTGGTGGGAGACGCAGGTTTCTCGATGCTTTACAAGTGTTTTGAAGCAACAAGTCCAGCTGTTCTGGTCGATACACTTGACAGCAGCTGTGGGAGCCCCGTGCACTCAGTAGTGACCCCTGCAGTGCCTGCAGCGTGGAGGGCGCTATCATCGCTTTCTCCCCTCCTAGGGCCGTGTATCTGGTGAGGCACAGAGAGACCAGGCAGCGTTTTGCTATAAAGAAAATTAACAAGCAAAACCTCATTCTGCGGAACCAGATCCAGCAGGTGTTTGTGGAGAGGGACATTCTCACCTTTGCCGAGAACCCCTTTGTGGTCAGCATGTTTTGCTCCTTTGAAACCAAAAGGCACCTGTGCATGGTGATGGAATACGTGGAAGGTGAGAGCGAAGCTGGTCACCCAAGGGCCGAATGGGGGCTTTACACTGCGGTTGTTAGAGTGGATTTTTTTTTTAAAAAAACACTTAACCTGCCGTCCTAGGGTAGGAAAACAAAGATCCCCAAAGTGAGGGCTGCCGCCTGTGAATGCTTTTAGCTCTCATGGCCACCAGGCCCCTCAGTACTGAATGTCTCTGCGATGTCCTGTGTGAGCACACGTCACGCTGCCCTCTGCTCCCCGTGCCTGTCCTGTTCCTGCAGGAATGGAGGGTCCTCCTTCCTTCGCAGAGCAGAGACTCCAAAACCATCTGCTGCCCGTTGAGAGAGAAGCTTGGTCTGTGCACACGACTTGGAGACAGGTGCTCCCTCGTGTTACCCTCTCTCTGCCTCTGTTTCCCTCTCTGTAAAACATCGTGTGCGTGCGTGTGTGCGTGCGTGTAAAAATACTCCCCTGCTTTAATCTGTTCTTCTTTCTGAAGCAGTTCTGTGAATGGTGATTTAATGTCTCTGGTGTGTTCCCTCTGCCATCTGTCCATCTGCATCCAAACATGTAACAAACATGCATTCGCCAGGTAACCATGTCTTTGAGCTGCAGCAGAACCTCCTTGCTGTGTCTCAATCCTAGACCTGCTGTTCTCCGCTTGTACCAGTGCAACATCCCAAAAACTGGAGAGCTGAGTGCTGCCTGAAGCAGAGCAGCAGGGGCTGGCAGATGGGTGGCCACGCAGGTTCAGAAAGAAAGGCTTTTCTGCCATATGCAATTGGCCAGGGATACTTTTCCTCTTTCTAGCATTGGGTTGCGGCCACTCGGAGGCAGTATCCAGGACTTGACAGCTCAGGGTCTGATTTGGTGTAGGGAGTCCTACGTTCCTGTTAAGAAGAAGTTCCTTGAAATCCTTGAGGATGCCCTGAGCCCAGTCCTGCATGCTGCACAGTTGCCTGTGGCTCATGGAGAGTTTGTATGTTTCTGTAGGAGGGGACTGTGCCACGTTACTGAAGAACATGGGTCCTCTGCCAGTCGACATGGCCCGGATGTACTTTGCAGAGACTGTTCTAGCTCTGGAATATCTTCACAACTATGGGATTGTGCACAGGGACCTGAAGCCTGACAAGTAAGGACAGGAAGGGGGCTCAGGGTTGGAGGAGCATGGGCAAGAGGCTGTCAGATTCTAAAGTGGGGAAGTGTGGGGGGGGTTCCTTTGTATCCCCTTTCCCCACTGAGAGTGATGGGAGCTGCTTCTGGCTGAGTGATCCCAAGTCATGAGCAGAAAGCAGCCAGCCTTTTCAATGTAATTCTTAGAGTGGGGCCCTGCCTCTGCTCTCTGCTTCATACCAGGCTCTGCTAGGGAGCGAGCCAGTGAGATTACACATGCATCTTCTCTCTTGCAGTTTGTTAATCACTTCAATGGGTCACATCAAACTAACAGACTTCGGCCTGTCAAAGATTGGGCTGATGAACATGACCACGAACTTGTATGAAGGACACATTGAGAAGGACACTCGAGAGTTCATGGACAAGCAGGTATGTCCAGGATCTCGGTAGGCTCAGATTCCATGCTGTAGTGGGTGGGGCCATTGGTTCAAACAATCTCTCTTGGTCCCCGAGGGAGGGTGGGAATGCTGTATCCATATCTCCCCATCTCGGAGACAGCATAGTTCTGGGCACGCTGTAGCAGTACTTGGGCTGCTATGGAGAGCAGAGGTTCCAGTATTACCAACACCTCTTTGAATGCAGGTGTGCGGCACTCCCGAATACATTGCGCCAGAGGTGATCTTAATACAAGGCTACGGGAAGCCTGTCGACTGGTGGGCCATGGGCATCATCCTGTATGAGTTCCTCGTGGGCTGCGTCCCCTTCTTCGGAGACACCCCAGAAGAGCTCTTTGGGCAGGTGATCAGCGGTAGGTCTCTAGCAATGGTCAATACCCTGAGCCATCCTCTCGTCTTCGTTCCGGGAGCTTTCTGGGTCTGAGTGTTCCTAGCCCTTCTTTGTCTTGCGTTATGTCAGCACCAGGTATGGGGCGTTTGGGTATTTGGGTTAGTGCTTCTGGGACACTGAGACTCTGAACCATGCAGGCACCACTTCCTGTTATAGGCCTCAGAGCACAGCTCATCTGCGTGTTAACAAGATGAGATTTTGCCCTTCTGTAGCCTCTTCCATCCAAGGTCCTCAAAGGGCTTTACAAACGCTTACCAATGAACATTTGCCTGCAGAGGTTCCTGGGCTTCTCTCATGATTATGATTGGACATTGGCGCAGCCCTGGCTTTGTGGCAGGTTAGAGTGTGCAGCTGGCTCGCTGGGCCAGGCACGTAGTCTTTTGAACTGATTCAGTGGCCCCAAGGAGGTTGGGATCCTCTAAATGAACAGATTCCTTTTTACTCCTGCCTCCTTTTGACTCCAGGCGATGGAGGAAGGACAATGTATTCCCTACCCAGAACAGGATGAAGAAAGTAGAGATGTTTTGGAAGCTGGCTTAGGAGAATGTACAGCCTAATTGTTGCCTGCACTAGAATGCTGTTCCTTAGCATGGTGTGCTCTGGAATGAGGGTTGGGCCTCAGGGATGTTTCATCATCTGATTTAGACATGAATGTTCTCGTAGTGTAGATGGTTGGGTTTCGCTTCGTTCCCAGGCTTTGGGGGAAGCGTGGCTTGCAGCGCTGTCCTTGTACAGCTGCCGTTTCACTTTTCTCTTTTGATTGCTGCTTAATTTTTCTTTTAACAATAACTCTTCGGATGAGGTTGTTGGGCGTCACCCAGGTCTTGCAGCACCCTCACCATATGATTAGTGAATCAGAGAGATGGCTGTGATGTAGCTTTAAAGTCACTGAGTGTGGACATGGGAGTCTCACCTTTCCCAGAGTTAGGTGACTAGCACATGCTTTGCAGTTACACTGGCATTTTTCTTGTGCAAAAATAACTTCCCTAGCAAAGGTACTTTGCCTTAAGGTTCCAAGTCATAATGACCTTCCTTCAACTCGCTCCTAACTCCGACTCAAGTGGGATGCTCCCTGCAGCCATAAGGGCAAGAGGGCTGAGGTGCTCATTGTGAGAAAAACAGGCCATGAATCTACAGCTTCCTGCCCCCTCCTATCCCAGCCAGCCTTGGGGTGCCCGTTGCATGGAGTCCCAGACCAGTAGCTATGGGGGGCCCCAGGAGGTAGTGCAAGTCATCTGTGGAGTGGTCAGTTACAAGTCTCCAGTTGGTGTGTCTATGATCCGCTTTCTGCCCTGGCTGTTCTGATGCAAATGGCCTTTTGCTGTCAAGGGAAGGGGTCCCCTCATGATTTTCCGTTTTGTTTCAGATGAAATTATGTGGCCTGAAGGCGATGAAGCTCTTCCTGCTGATGCTCAGGATTTGATCACAAGGTTGCTGAGGCATTGCCCGCTGGAACGATTAGGCACCGGTATGTGCTTACTGTACCCGACTTTTACAGCTTACATCCACCAGGCAGCACAGGGCATGGTCACTGGTGAGATCTCCTGGCTGATCAGCATTTGTCTGTTCAGTTGATGTCTGTCTCACCTTTGAGATGGCTTCCTTAGGCAATTAGAAGTATCCCCAGCATGTTTATAAGAGCTCTTCTTTAGCATCTAGCTCATGGGCTTTGCTCTCTCATGCGGTACCGCCCATCTCAGCCTTGAGCATCGCTTTTCTACAAACTGTATTCTGCCGTTGGGGTAGAAACATTCCCCTTCCCTGGAGAATCTGGGCAGTGCTGACTGCATGTTGGCACCCTATGTGGATAGGTACTTGATGGGATTAAAGCATGCTCCTGATGCCCTGTGGCCACCTGCAGTTGGAAACCTACAGCAGTGCTTAATAACCCATGGCTTCTGCTCCTGGCTCTGGCAGGTGTTGAAATGTTAGTGTGTCTATCCTGAAGAGCCTTGCTTCTCTCTCTGGTTCCCATCTAGTTTTTTGTTTGCCCTTCATTTCACCTTCACCTTCCTGCATTTGCAGGCTTAGCACAGTTGCTACCCCTCTGTTGGTGTATACAGCCCAGGGCATAGCTACAGTTCTGTGCCACTGCGTTTTCCGGCCTTAGTGTCCTGCTGTCTCTTCCTGCCCTCGCCATTGCTCATTGTTCTCTGCCGTGCTAATGAGAAAGCTCCAACAATCATTTTGACAGCAGGCCAGATCCTGTCTCTGTTCCTGCCACATAACTCTGTAAATGTCAAGGAACTACTCTGGATTTCTCTTTGTTGGTGTAACCGAGAGTAGAGTCTGTCCTGTTGTTAGAGACGTGCTGGGGGAGGCCAAGGTCAGACTTTGGTCTTGTGAATCTTGTTGGTTGGGATTGGCTTTGGGAACCTAAATCCAGGCTGGTTCCATTCTATCCAAGCCATCTCTCCTGGGGGTCAGATACAACTAAACTTGTTTCCAAAGTGAGAGAGCCTCCTGGGCTGTGGGGACAGCTCTGGGATCTGAAGTCAGGCCTGCTCTAACCTACGTGATTCTGTGCTGGACACCAGGTGGCGCCCATGAGGTGAAGCATCATTCCTTCTTCCACAACCTGGACTGGAATGGGCTGCTGCGGCAGAAGGCTGAATTCATTCCCCAGCTGGAGGCTGAGGATGATACCAGTTACTTTGACAGTAAGGCCAATTCTTGCTTCTCCTTTTTTGACTCCATTGTCCCAGCAGTGAGTCTGGGTAGAATTATCCAGAACAAAGAAACCCTCTCCAGGAAGCTAGGGGCAAATTTCTGATAGTGACTTTGCTGTAGAAACGAATGATAAAGTCACTGCTGCATGGAGTGAAATTCTCCTGGTCATGCCTCAGGCGGCAGTGCCTCCAGGTGCACCAGCTCCTTCGGTTTGCTCGTATAAGCCCTTTGCTGATGGTGCCCCTGGCTCACAACCTCCTTGACGCGCTACCTGCCAGGCACAGCGGGAGGGACTGGCAGATTAGGCTGAGTGCAGAGGGCTGTCGCCAGAAGGGTTCACTTGTGGGATTTTGCACACAGACACCGGTGCTGCAGATAAGACTAAAAACAGGCACCAGGGTGATGGTTCCTAACAAGCAGTAGAGGGACTTTCTGGCTGCACCTTGCTTTGCTCCCCTCAGCTGCCTTGGGAAGTGGAAAAGAAACATCTGTGCATCCCTGCTGGGAAACCCCAGCCCTCAGCGATGTGTATGGAGAAGAAAGCTCCCGCTGCTCTGCCCTGCATGCCAGAAGGCACTGCTTTCTCGTGCACCCGTGTAGCTGACAAAAAAAGTGGTGCATCAGGGGTTAAAGCTGGAGCTAAATGAGTGCAAGGCCGAGTGCACGGTAACCTGAGGCTCCCTGGGAGTCACTTTGGGGGTTGTAAAATGCATGGTTAATTCCCTCACTCCTGCAAGCCTGTGACACGGGTGACCTAATTACTTAGAAATTCGGTGTGTTTAAAGTATGGTCTGTTCACACGCTGAGGAACATGGGACTTGCTGGACCAGATCAGACCCATAGTCCATCTAGTCCAGGATTTTGTCTGACAGTGGTCAGAACCAGACACTTCACAGGAAGCTGCAAGAAACCTAATCCCTGTTATCTAGAGACTGGCATAAGCCCTGAAGCATGAGCTTTAAGATCCATTCCAAAACTTCCTAGCATCAGCAAAAGAAAATAACTTTCACTTCTGTGCCAGGGCTTCCCTGGGATTTAAACCTCGGCCCTCTGGCACTGTAAGCAAGAGGTCTACCCCTGTGCCATTTGCCAGCAGGGCCCCTCTGAACTGGTCCCCACGTGACAGTGATGGTATCCCTGCGTCAGCCTTTATTTCTGCAGTGAGGGGCTCTGGCAGAGAGCAGGGGAGATGTTATTATTTTCTGTACACAGTAAGTGTGGCCAAGTTGCTGGGTTTCTAGCTCCCTGGAGGAGTGACCCACCTTCATGGGAGGACTAGTCCCGGCTGCATTGTCACTTCTTGCTTTCAGCTCGCTCTGAAAGGTACCGTCATTTGGGCTCCGAGGATGAGGAAACTAACGATGAGGAATCATCTGTGGAAATCGGCCAGTTCTCATCGTGCTCTCATCGCTTCAGCAAGGTACTGGAAACGCCCCTTGTGGAACCAAGTGGGCTTGGGGGTTTAGAGAGACCTTCCCCCTCCTGTGGGGCCAAAGCCCCCAGCTGTCACTCTCTGCCAGAGCACAGGTTTTACTAGTGACCTGAGAGGGGCTTTCTGAGCTCTCGGGCAAGGGAAAGCCCAGGGAGTCGGCTCACCTGCTGCAGGAGCACCATTGAAAGCTCTGCAGGGAATGCTCCGGGAAAGGCTGCTGGTGATTCATGGGGGGAGGTGCTCTTCCTTCCAAGTGAGCACTGACCCAGCACCCCAGCCTGGTGCTAAGGAGGAAGGTGTTCCTAGAGGTGCTGCCCTTCATGAGAGCTCAAGTCTGGATCTTGACTTTTCTGGGATAAGGATCCCATGGCACCATGCCCCAGGGTAGGAGAATTAACCCTGGAGGGTTCACCAAGGTCCCATTTGGCTGGTTGCTCCCTAGAATCCTCCTGGATTTATTATTCTTCACTCTGTCCTGAATTGTTTTGTGGAGTTGCTGTGAGATGTGGTAGCTGTTTGACCTCAGAGGTGGCTGCATTTCATTGGTGGGTGGGTGATTCCTGTAGACGTGTGGTCAGAGTCTCTGCTTCGGTAATTCAAGTGACTTTGGTGGAGCCATGCCGGCAGAGGCTGGACCGTAAGGTGTAAAGTGCTGTGGGTTCCTGGCTGAACTCTACCTTCTGCTGGCCTCTTTGCTACAGGTTTATAGCAGCTCTGAGTACCTGGCAGCTCACTCCAACTTGAGCTTCTCGTCCTCCGAGCGCAGTCAGAGCGAGGAGAAAGAGGACAGGACAGAGCGGTGGGACAGGAGCTCAGGAGACGAAGACAAGAGCCGGCTGTCGGGCACAGAGACCAGGTGAGCTGGGAGGGACGATGCTGCAGAGACCTGGCTGAACCGCCACTGGTGCAGACTGTCCAGATCTCCCTCCATGGAGCACGAGGCTCCTGTGCCTATGGGGGAAAGCGGACTCCCGAAGGCAGCAGGGGTGAGTGGGGTGTGTGGACTCTCACATTGTTGTTATGGCTTGGCAGCTCAGCCAGCCCTGGGCACTGCTGCTCATTTGTACTGGGCTTTGCTTCTGCTCTAGGTAAAATACAGGGATTTGCTCCCAGCAATCACCTGACAGAGGCTGGGGAGTCCCCTTGCTGAGGGGGCGGCAGGAGATCCAGCAGTGGGTGAGTCCTGCTCCTAGAAGACTGGTTTGGAACCACGATGAGATGGTGAAGTCCCCAGAGCAGGGACCTTGGCTGCTAGCAATCCAGTTAGCCCTGAAGTTGGAGAAGTGGCCCAAGGGGGCTGTGCCCTATAGTATGGTGGTGGTGCTGTGTCAGTGGTGGTGTCCCCAGCCTCGGTCACTCTCTTAGACCATCTCTCCCCTATCAACAGGCTCCGATCGTGGACGTCCTGCGGCTCGACAGCCTACTCCTCCCGGCACGAGCGAAGCTGCAGCCCTGCCACCCTCACCAGCACCTTCAGCCTGGAGACTATGCCGAAGTTTGCTTTCTCCTCCGAAGATGAGAGCCCCTGCCCAGGCTCTGTAAAGGCTGAGAGGCCGATGTTTGTGCTGGGGGACCCTGAAGCAGGGGCAGGAGGAGCAGCAAAGTCCTCCGTGTTATCAGGTACGTGGGTTGTGGATGGCGGAGCTGGGCATTCAGGACACCGCAAGCGTCACCTTTTGCCATTTGGCAAAGCTCTGCGCTAAGTCTGGGTCCCAGCGTCGTGTCTGGCCTTCTGCTGGGGAAGGAGCCTGTGTACATTGTACAGGGCATTTACGCTGGGTTGGCTGGTAGAGGCCCAGGCCATTGGGGAGCCTCCAGGTAATCCTAGCTCCAGGGTTCTCCATTACTCCCCATGGTTCCAGCGCAGGGGAGAGATGCTCTGTATTTATGCCCTGTTGGCATGGCACGCTCTTCTCTCTCCCCCATCATTTCCCTGCCTGTCTTGACGGGTACAGTTGGAGACCTCCAGAGTAGGTGTTTTAAGCTCAGAACAGCCTGCACTGTGCAGAGTGGCTGGGCGTTCGAGCTTGCGGCACTTGGTGGTAGGGGGCTCATCACGTGCCTCAAGGGGATGGTGATAGCTTCCCCTGTGTGTGCTAGCTCGTCTTTCCTTGATCCCTTTTGGGAGGGACGGGGTGGCAGCGTGTGTGGTCTGTGAGGGTGCTGGGTGTGCCACACCCATGCCCCACATGTACCCTTGAATAGGCACTGACAGGCTAGGGAGGGAGCAATTGATGGAAGAGGGAGCCAAATGGGGGATGGGCTTCTGGGGAGACAGCCATGTGTGGGAATAACCCACTGGGGACAAGATGGCCCTGGCTGGACATTTGCTTAGCAGCAGAGTCTAAACCTTGCCAGTTCCTGGTTACCTATGAGGAGGGGGAAGTGACAGTAAGGGCTGTGGCTCTTAGACATGATACTGTTCCAGTGAATGATTCAGGATCATCCCCAGCCGGCCAGCAGCAGAATAGCACTGCAGTGACATTATTGCCCCTAAGAAGTACCAGCTTGCTGACCACCTTTCTCCCTATTTGTCCAGCTGATATTGTCAGTCTGAACCGCATCCGCCTGCGGAGCAACAGCACCGGCACCAAGAACTCCACCCCCAGAGCCCTGGAGCCTGGGCTGGGCCGCAGGCTGGGGAGTCCGAAGAACACTCCGGAGAAGCAGAGAGTGTCTTCAGGAAGCAGAGTGCCTAAATCTGCTTCTGTCTCAGCCCTGTCCCTGATCATCACCTCAGGTCAGTGGGAAGCAGCTAGTGACTCTGATGCACGGTGTTAGCTGCGTAATTAGCGAATGCATGTTTCAGACTGGAACCTCTCTACCATGCACTCCTGCGCTTTGGCTCCAGCTGCCCTGCCCCAAAATGGTGGCCCTTTGTAGCTTTTATTGTCTGTCACACTTTCACCAGCTTGAGCATTACCAAGGAGGCCTCCCAGGCAGTCCCTGCTCAATTATGCCCTCTTGGGTTCCTCTGTGCCCCTCGGCAGTGGGACCCATGCAATGATAACCCTGAACAAGAGCCACAAAGTGGAACCAGCTCTTGGCAAGAGGGAAGCTGGCAAATCTGCCCTCTGCCTAAGCTGAGAGAGTAGCAAAGGGAGACAAACTGCGCAGACAATGGTAAGGGAGTGAGATTTTTAGGCTCCTTTGTGGGGTGGACTGAGGTGCTCCTCACTCGGGCAAAGAAGTTTCTACATACAGTTGTCTGCCAGGCCAAGTCCTGTTAATAACAGCAGAGTTTGGCAGCCCTGTTACTCTTTGGTGTGAGAGGACTGACTCCCCGCTGCTCAGAGTGCCGGCAGGCGCGGGGGATCCAAGGTGAAACGGACACTGTCTGTTGTTTGTAGATGACTGTGCCAGTGGAGCCCTCATGAGCCCCATCTCCCCACACTCTCTCTCTTCCAACCCATCCTCTCGGGACTCATCCCCGAGCCGGGATTCCTCCCTCAGCATCACCAGCCTGCGTCCGCCCATCATCATCCACAGCTCTGGAAAGAAATATGGCTTCACCTTGCGCGCCATTCGTGTGTATATGGGGGACAGCGACGTGTACACCGTGCATCACATGGTGTGGGTAAGTGACTGGCTGGGGATTCTGCACGTGAAGGGAGCAGCGTTGTGCTGTGCAAAGCACTGTGCTCTGCATGCCGAGCAACAGTGGTGTAAAGGGACTAATGTTTTCTCAAGAGGAGAGGGAGGTGGCGCCAACTGGCAATGAAGCTTAAATGCTGTGTGAATAATCCTGAAGATCTGCCTAAGTAACGCTTCCTGGTTCTTCAATTCCAGAGCGTGGAAGATGGGAGCCCTGCCCAGGAAGCTGGGCTGAGAGCTGGGGATCTCATCACACACGTGAATGGAGAGTCTGTGCTAGGGTTAGTTCACATGGATGTTGTGGAGCTGCTGCTAAAGGTAAGCAGCCTGCTCTGGATGTAAACGTGACACCAAGTGCTTTGCTCCCTCTGCACACGCCTCCTGAGCCCCCGGGAGCGAGCTGCTGGTCAAGACTTTGAGCAGCAAACTTTTAGTTTAATTATCTGAAAGCGAGAGAGGGAATTCACAGATCAGCAGGAGTCCAGCGATAACACCCTCTCTGTTGTTGCTTGGCTTTGCCCACGACAGTGTGGCTCTGACTTGCATGCTGTGTCTGCTCCCCTGGAGCAGAGTTCTCAAACATGGGATGTACAGAGCTGGCAGGTCACTGGGGCCTGGCTGCTCCTCCTTGCTTCCCACCGCAAATTCTATTAAAAGAAGCTGAAAATCCAGCCAAATGTAGTCTCCCATGTAAGCAGTGGTTGGAATTGTCTTAAGGATTTTATGAGGTCCCAAATGCGAGGGGAGGTGGATGGGGCTGCATGATTGCGAAGGGGTGGGAAGATTGTCTTGACTGCAGGACTAGCTGCCCCTCTCTGGTCTCTTGCTGTTCCCCTCAGGTGTCGGGCCGCACGACTTTGCCTATCCCAGGGTGTAATTTCACATTTCTGTCACTCCTAGACTTGGCCGTGGGCTAGAGCACCCTGTGTACGGACCGTGCTTACCCATTAGAGTTCAGACACCCAGGTTCTTCCCTTCGGGGTTGTGTGACCAGAGCTGTTCCGTGACCAAACAGCCGCCTTAAACCTATTGCTTATTTTAACAGTAGGAACAAAGCTTCTTCAGAAAAGAGGATTTTAATTCAACAAACAGTCTCCATGCATGCCTGTGGCTTACCACCAACGGTACCGTAGGCAGGACTAACTTCTTCAGACACACCCAACAGGTGTCTGAACTCTGGTTCCCCAGAATAACTACCCTTCTCTTCAGAGCGTGTCCCTTTTAAACTGCTGTAGTCCTTTTGTTCTTCTGTGTTCTTGGGCTTTGACCCTTCTGGACAAGCCCAGTCCTGTAAGCTCAGCAGGATATTGAGTATTGAGCCTGAGTCTTCAGAGCCAATGGCCCATAATAGCCCGCAAGTGTTGGCTGAGGGGCAGTTTCTCTTGAGCCATTTTTTCACTTCCTGCTTCTTTTTCCTTACAGCCCCTTGTTAAACTAGACCAATATGTGTCTACAGTAATATCCCAGTGACCAGGTCAGCGTACAGTATTGATAGAGTATTGCAGAACAGCTGCACATCCAACGCAGTGCTCTCTAGAAACGCTGTGGAGAAGTTTGAGAAGCCCCTTGCCCTAGAGACCGCCTGGCGGAAATGCAGCTCTCCCTGTGGATGCTGGCTGCCCAAAACGTCTGTCTCTTCAAAAGGCAATTCTCGTGGGGTGGTTGGGACCTTTGTGTTTCTGCAGACTGGTCCCTGGGAGGGGGGGGGGTCCGCTCCCTAGTCCTGTCTCCTCAGTCAGCAACAGTGAGACAAGCATATGTACGTACCATGGCCCACGGACGAGAGATTTTTAATGGGGTTTACACCCTTCCTCAATATGGTTAATTACGGGGGGCCCCTCAGGGCAATGGTGCATTCCATAGGCTGTGCTGGAGACTGAAACTTCAGTGTGAGAGCACCACTGACATGGAAGCTCAGCCTCCTCACTAACATATGCCAGGAGCGAGGCGTGGTCTAGCAGTCTGAGCAGTGGACAGGGAGCCAAGACTACCTGAGTCCCGATCCCAACTCTGACAGTGACTCCTGCTGTCGGCTTGGTGGACCGAGTCACTTATTCCGCGGGAGGTCAGACAAGATGATTCTGATGGGGCCCCGCTGGCCTTAGAATCTGCTGTAAACATGCTCGTGTCTTGTGCGTCGCAACTACTCGCTTGGTGCATTTCACAGAGTGGCAACAAAGTAGCGCTGCGAACCACCGCCCTCGAGAACACATCCATCAAAATCGGTCCTGCTCGGAAAAACAGTTCCAAGACCAGGATGGCCAGAAGGAGTAAGAGAAGCAGGAAAAGGGACAGTCAGGACCGGTGAGTAGGAATAGTCTGGGAACAGGATGACTTCCGTTATCAGGCATCTCTGTGTAGCTCTGACGAGAAGCCGGCACGCGAGCCCTGAAGTATCTTGGGGAGCTCTGAGTTTATTCACCTAAGATAGGGAAGGAAAAAGTCTAAATGCTGCCTCAGCCAGAGAGAATGATACTTCTCAGTGTTAGCCAAAGAGACCAGCGCCTTCCGTATTTGCTCTTGGGCCAGCATCCCCTTGCTTCACACAAACAGAAGGGGTGGGAATTTACTCGGCTTCTTGAAGCCACGGTGCCTGGTAGTGCTATGTTATAGCATGCCCTGGGGAGCAGAGGTCGAAGGCTCAGTGAAACAGGCTGTGGATGTCAAGGGCAAAGAATAGAGATTTTTACTTTAAAAATGCCCTGGATGTTAATGGCTGCAGTAGTTTTTAATGGTAAGATTCCTGTATGTGCTTGTTGGCAGATCTGGCTCTTTGCAGCTTGCTAAAGAATATTTTTATAAGGCATCTTTTGTCTGAAATGGTTATGCAGTAAATTCCTTTCCCCATTGTTCATAGCATGCAGAATCCTGAAGAGTTGAGTTTTTGGCTGAAAACTCAGCCTGGAGTTGTAGACCTCCCTAGAAGACAGACTTGGGAGAAATCTTGTTTTTTAATGCCCAAGGGGAATAAAAAGAGGTTTTGTGAAGTTTGTTTCTAATGGGCCCTTCCATGTAAACCCTGCCCCTGGGGCTTTTTTCTTCTCAAAGGAGAAAGTGCCTTTTCAAAAAGATCTCCAAGCAAACAACTGTACTGCACACCAGCCGGAGCTTCTCATCTGGCCTCCATCACTCCCTGTCATCAAGCGAGAGCCTTCCAGGATCTCCCACACACAGTCTGTCACCTGGACCTACAACTCCCTGCCGCAGCCCTGCTCCAGACCTCCCATTAGGTAGGGGTTAGTTCTGATCACGCACCCAACTACAGCTTCTGCTACTTGTGAGATGGCTTGCCCTGTGCTCTGTCCATTCCATGGGTGGTGTATGTGACTGTATAGCGTGTGCCCTCAGGCTGTTCCTGCAACAGGATCAAGGCTGGGAATGCGACTGGGTCTCCAGGGTTCACTCGGGGGTTTGTGGACACTCTAAGCCTGCTCCCCAAAAGGAGAACACGTATGCTAACTTGTACGGATGGGTGTCTCTATCACTCATGCATTTATGGTGACAGTGCTTTGTGCCAAAGGGCTTGTCTTCCCCAACTGCTAACTTGCCTTTCGAAAGGTATTTTGACATGTTGGAGGATCATAGTGGCTCTTGGGAATAATCTTCCAGAGTAAATGAGCATTTCCCTGCAAATTCACAGTAAGGGGCAAGGAAGGAGAAACGCAGTGTATAAAGCGCAGGGCAGAATGACCAGAGGGAACACTAGGTCAGCTGTGGTTGCAGCTGGGTTTGTATGCACATGGGTCCCCCTGTAACTTGCAGTGCTCCTTAGAGTAAGGTAGCCAGGTTCCAAACCATTCAGGAAGTGCCTTGATTTGGCGGACATCTCATTCAGGCCCACCGTATGTGAGGCTGATGCTGGAAATGCTGACCTTGCCCAAGCCTGTGATGTGTAGGGAATGTGAGCATAGTATTCATCTCGGGTGAGCTGATCTCTCTTTCTCTCTCTCTCTGGCAGATTCTGTCTCCCCACAGAGCACCTCCCCATCCTCTAGCACCCCCACCTCTCCTGCAGGACACATCAGACCGAGCTCTCTTCATGGGCTAGTGCCGAAGCTCAGTGGTCAGCGTTACAAGGTGGGGCGCCGCAAGTCCACCAGCAGCATCCCCCCATCTCCCCTTGCATGTACTCCTTCCTCAGTCCCACAGCCGCCTTCTCCTCAGAGGTCCCCATCGCCACTACCAGGTTACACCAAAAACGTTCATTCCTTCCAGGGCAAGACCCTGTCTCCCCCCACCATTGTCAGGCAAGTGTCTCGGCCCAGGAGTGCCGAAGGCCCCAGGTCCCCTCTGCTAAAACGAGTCCAATCTGCTGAGAAAATTGCTACCTACCTAGCAGAAAAGAAAACCATCAGCAGCCGGAGGCTCACACTGGAAATGCCTCCAGGAGATGGGATGGGGGAGGCTCTGGGGGAGCGGGAGACTCCTGTCCAGGCGGGAGAGCTCTGTGCTGTGGCTTACCCAGGGACCCCCCGAATGAGAGACTGGACAGGGGAAAGGCAAGACCGTGACCAGGAGGTCGTTGTCATGAGGAGGCTGAACCTGTCGGAGCGCAGAGACTCCTTTAAAAAGCAAGAAGCTGTCCAAGAAGTGAGTTTCGATGAGCCAGAGCTGGTGCCTGTGAGTGAGGATGGCACGAAAGTAGAGGCCAAGCCGGACAAGGAGCGTGCGCCATGGAGACTTGCCCCTCATGCAGCTTCCTGGGTGGAGACCAGACCAAGTTCAGCATTTGGTAGCTCTTCAGAGCCCCCAAACCCAGAGCAGATACCTACTGTGGTGCCCCAGATAGCAGTTCAAGGGTCAGAGAGTGATGAACAGGAGACTAACACAGCTGAGTGGGAATGCCAAGGGTCCTACCCTATCCAGTTGATGGCCAGGGTCTATACTGAACAAATGGATGGAACTACAGCAGTGGAATGCAAGAGTGTCTCCTCCCAGTGTAGAGAGAACCGGGAGCAGAGAGAGCTCTGTGCGGGACAAGAGTCCTCACCAGCGTCTGGGTCCCCGCATAGGACATATTGTGGTAAGGACATGGTGGGCTCACCCCAGCTGAGCAAAGCACCTCCAAGGCTGAAGTTGTGGGGGAGCTCAGGAATGCAGGAGCATGAGACACCCAGAGCAAATCAACAAAAGATGCATGATCAAGCTCGTAAAAAAGTCAAGGATGAGTAATAGCCACACGTTAAGCAAAAGGAACTGCTAAAGGTGAACAGGTGACAAAGTGACAGGGCTTCTTCAACTCTGCATGAACTCCACAAGGGATCAGCTTCCAGAAAAAGCACATCTGTGTTGGAGACTGACATACCATCCAGCTGCTGAGATGCGCTCTTCAAATTACATACCTGCATTTTGTGAGAGTAAATCCATCTGAAACATTTTTAACATCAGACCTGGCAGGGGGTGGGGAATAATTTGACCAATTTACTTACAAAAGGTTTTTGTACTAACTGGAAAGATGTTAATATTTTTGTAGAGCTAAGGAAGCTGCTCTGTTGTGGTGGCATTTCCTCAGCAGGACCCCGTTGTAAATAGAAAGGACTAGACGTGAATCCTTATAACTAATTTATTACCTTTATAAGCTAAGAGGAGGCATCTGAGGGCATCTCAACTGACTTGTGCTAGGAGAAGCATTACTGCTGTTTTGTAAGTGTTTATAATCCCACCTCTGAAATGCACTATATGTTTTCTGTCATTTCTAAGAACCACTTGTTTTGCCCCTTTTGTTATTGTCAGTTTCAGGTGGCAAGGCACAAAGAAAACAGTTAAGAGACAAGCTTTAAAATACCGTTTTTGGTAGGGATATGCACAACAGGGTATGTCTTGGTGCTTTGATCTTCATACAGGTGTCTTATTCCTCCCAGAAGAGCTGGTCTTCATTAAAGGTAAAAGCAGTAACTTTATAATGATGGGATTCCTGTTCTGGAACAGACCAATGGTCCATCTAGTCCAGTACCCTACTCTTGCCAATGCCAGATGTCTCAGAATTAGGCATAAATTTCCCTCTCCCCAATATGTTGGTTTGGGAAGAATTTTTGCTTTGGTGTTTTATGATGCTCCTGGGCAGGGGACACGCATGTGATTGATGCCCACCAGGAATGTATGAATCAAGTATTACAAATCCCAGACAAACCTTGTTGAAGAGTTTCCATATCCTGGCCTTGTGCTGTCACTGGCATTGAACATTTCTCCCCCCAGAATGTCGTATATACATCTCAAACAACAGCTCCTCTTTAGTGTGTGCGCTGAACCGTTACTCTTCCACTTCTTCTCCTTTGACATGTTGACTTGGCCAATTCTAGGACACAGTGGTACTGATAAAGGGCAGCACGGCTCCGGGCCTCTGTGTGCGTTTGCCAAGATGAGATTGATTTTGTATGTGAGAGTGAGAACTCCCTTGCTGTGTGTGGCCGGTTCCCATCTATGTTAATTGATGCTGCATATAAGCCATGGTGTTTGGGGTAGAAAATGAATGTTTTAGTAACCTACAGAAGTTGCCTCTGTTTTTTTCCACATTGCGGTTATCTTTCTTGGCTAAGTAAGCTTGGGTGGTAACATATTCAGAGCCTTCCAGTGGCTGCTAGCTCAGCCAGAGGGGTTTCTGCAGAGTGAGGTGAGCTGCTCCCTCCTAGGTGCTCCTTGTGTTTCCTCCCCACAGAACAAGAGACTCTGCTGAGAATCTTACCATGTCTGCCTCATGGCAATGAGGGTCACCAGGCTGGGCTCATCAGGAGTGATTTAATCATGTGACTCTTAGTTGCAAGAGATGGAGCTTGGGGATCTCCTGGCATTTTGGTGATTGATCCAAATTGCTCTTTAGCAGCTCAGGAAGTTGAGGGATTTTCACTTGAGGCGCTGCTGGCAAGTGGGGATGCACCAAGGGATTAGACTCCTTTAAATCATGTGAGCGAGACCTGATATATTGGGCTAGAATATGCCTTAGTGTTAGTTTATAAGCCGCTCCAGGATTCCATCTGTTGGAATCTGAAGATGACACCTAAGAAGCAGTTTGACAACAGCTAAAGAACCACAAAACTGGGATTAGCCCATGAGCAATATCTATCCTCCTCTTGTCGCATTGTTAGGTCCTGTGTTCCCTGTCTTCATGCACCTTCTAGTCCAATCAGAGGATTAGACGTGATGGGCAAGGAAAGTCTGGACTGGCTAACATCCCTCGGTGCTTTCTACTTTTCCTTGAATCTGCAGCATGTGAGGACTGTCATGGTTCAGCTCAAGGCCCTGTTGTAAAGGGTGAGCCTACAAACCCTGCCCACTGGGTTTACGTGCTGAATAAGCAGCCAAGTGCAGGTTACCTCTTGGCACCAGACGTCTAACCTTGTTTAACTGTTCCTGTTTTCCAGCAGCTCTTTTTTTTTTTTTCTGGTCTCATTCATATTGTGCTCCCATGTTAAAGGGAAACCAGAAGGACTATAAATTTAACTTGACAAGAGACACCTTCTTAAGCTCTTTACCGTGAGTAGAACCAGGAATGGAGGGAACATTAAGAGATTTCTTTAGAGGAACTTGCAGATTTGTCCATTTTTCATTTCAAAAAAAGACTTGAACATCTCTCCCCCCAATCCCTCATTCAAACCTCATCACCAACAAAGTTGATGTAATTATTTAGCGTGTTCTCTACCCCAGGTATGTCCTTTTCCTCTCTCCCATATAACCGTGCTCTCAATGGCAGCTCCCAGGAGTAGGGCAGGGCAGTACCACCTGCCAGTCTAGCTTTTCCAACGGAAGCTCTCCTAACTCATTTGGAAAGTGTATATTCTTTAATAAACAAAACACAAATAGAATGTATCAGTGGCTATTTCTGTTGACAGCCTTGTTCAGGGGCTAGAACAGGAACTCAACCCTCAAACAGAAAATAATAGCTGGGGTTTTGCATGTTGTGCTAGGGGGTTTCTAGTGTGAGGTTCTTTTTATGACATCTGGGCAGATTATGTGAACTTTCAAGGACTCACTGGTGCTCCCCTGGCACTTGTGCATTCCTGCCACATTAACAGCATCTCAAGATTTGACTCTTTTTTAACTTCCAATTTTAAACTTTTTAAAGGAAAAGAAAAAGTAGAATTCTTATGGTCTGACTTCCAAAGACCGTTTGAGCTTGGGCACTTTTAAATGTCCATGCAATGGTCAGTTTATACTTTTAGACATGTAGGCAAAACCTAGATAGTTGTAGAGGTTTGTAAGAGTTGTATGATCACCCCATCTGGTATCTCGTGCATGAGAACTACAGCACGGTACTGCTTAGTCCTATCCTCTGAAAGTCTTTGTTTTTTCAGGCTTTGTGTAAGCAATAGGATTGCCAATGAAGATATAATAAGTAGGCAAGCTATGGGTTTGATAGATCTGTCAGACCTCAAAGCTCATTCAGGGACATGTGTGTCTGAACCAAATGAAAATTAGCTGAAGGGTTACTGATTACTTGTGACTGTTTAGAATGGGGGGGGGGGGGAGGACTTGTTTTCAGACCGCCTGTTTTAGACAAGATTGATTTTTATAATCGTATAGAGGGTTTTCGTTTGTGTTTAATGCTTTTTTTTCTTGTAGCAAGAGATTTAAATAGCTCTGAGCCAAAATAAATTAATCAGTTTGATCATCTTTTCTGAGATGTTCCACATGAGAGGGAGTTGGTTAGGAAAAGCACAACTGGAATTTATCCATCTGTTTCCTTCCTTCCCTGGGCCAGGTTTCAGTATCTTAATGCAAATATTAACAGAGGTTTTGTTTATTTTCAGTGATTTGCAGTTTCTCTGCTGTATACTGCATACTGCTAGTTTCTAAAACCTTCCCCAGGATGTGCTTTCAGAACATACAGACATTCCACAGAGGTTTCTGAGTGAACGGAGCATTTAATTAGAGCCCTACATTTTTATTAAAAATGTAATAAACTACACTCTGTGTTGTCTCAGTTGTCTTTAGTTGTAATTTCTGAACTCCCTTTCCCTCTTGTGCTGGTGGATTTTGTATGAAGAGTCCCTCTGGCATTTTCCAGCATTTCTAAGGTTTTATATGATGTAAATGTTTACATTTGATAATGCATGTGTGTTTTTTCTAACTGCAGTGTTTGCAGAAACTGACAGTGCAAGTATTGGGCTTTTATGTCAAAACACTTATTTATATCCCTCCCTGTATAGTTTGTATTGCGATGATATCTAACCATGTGGGCAAAGTTGTCAGAAAGGTATTTTTTTATTATTATTTGTATAATGCTAATGTCTATGCCATTTTGTAGCACCAATCCCACCGTAAAGTGATTCCTTTTCCCACCCCAGACTTGAGAGTAACTGATGATGCTAGCTTTCTATTTTGATTGCTTATTTAAGCAGAATTTGTTTTTTTTACGTTTGTGTGGCTGTTTTAAATTGACTGCTTCTCCTGTGTTAATCCTTGTAGTAGTTTACCCAGAAAACAAGCAAACAATAATGTTGGTGGCCAAGAGCATGTATTAATTCCACATCATCAGCCTGTGGAGGCACAGAAGCACTTTCTGGTCTTGGGGTTTAGTGAACGAAATGGTTCTTTGCTAGATGACAATGCAGAATGAAGTGTTTTTGCTTCTGAAATGATCTTGCCAACAATTACTCTCTGTTGTAATCCTGTTTCTGCAGAATCAGTTGTTGTTTCCTTTTTTTTTTTTTAATCTCTCTTATTTAGAATAGGTTTTCTGCTTGCTTCCTCGGCCTTCTCTGTTAACCACTCAGGAAGTTAGCATTGTTGTTTTGAAAAAAAACTAAAAATGGACATCTCCTTTACCCTGAGCAGGTGTAAAAGGGTCTCAACAGGACAGTGGCTGAAGAACTATTATGTAAGAATAAAACTCGTTTCAGAAGTTGTATCTAAAGGATTTTTATGGAAAATGTCTTAAAAGTAAACAGGGCCTTGTCTTCCTGTATTGTACTGAACACTGGTCTTGGTATGAATATATTCAGAAAAAGTTTCATGTTGTAATAAAATTGTTCCTTGAGATGGAATTGAAGTTCATAGTCTTCTGTTCAAGGGGGGACTACTTAGTTCAGAACTGCTGATACTGAAGCTTTTAAAGAACATTTTGGAAATAAATTTCTTATTACTCCTGCATGTTCACTACCCAATCTTCCTGATGTGTAACACGAAGTAAATGACATGCAGTGTAACAACTGCTTCAATTCCTTCCAGATTTTGCAATTCCATGCCTGTGACTACACTGCCTGTTAGTTCCTTTGTGTGAAGATCTTGTTGGATGGCAGTTCACATCCCAACTTCAGCCAGTAGATTCTAGAGTAAAATCCTGAAATTAGCTGAAGCACTAGCCTGATGCTGTCAACTCAGCCAGCAGGCTCAAGGCCAGGATTGCATCTGTGGCATTGACAACTGGTCTGCTCAAGTAAAAGGATGCACAAGAGTGACCAGCCCAAGGAGCTAGAGTATAGTACCTGGCACCACCAAATATTTCCCATTCATGATCTCCTTCCCTTCCTTTGCTCTGCCTGTAACAAGCTCACTGCAACGCATGATCTACATCAGTGGTGCACAAACTTTTCCAGTCATGCTCCCTTTACCATTGGTCACCCTCCCTCCCCCCCATCACTTTTAATCTGAAGTAATCCCTTACTTCTGCACTGCTGCTGGCGGCAGCGCTGCCTTCAGAGCTGGGTGGCTGGAGAGTGGCTGCTGTTAGGGCATTCATATTGTTTCCAGTACAGGAGGACTATTTTTTTTATTTTTTTTTTTTAATCCTGCTCCTGTCCCACTCTGCAATACTGTCACGGAGTCCCCGGGCAATGCTCTGGAACTGCTCCCCACAAAGCCAGTCGGGACTTCGGGGAGCCGTCTCTCCCTCGGAGCAGACTGTCTTCAGGGCAAGAAACTCACACAGCTTCACCTCCTGGGTCTGACCTTGGAGCATTCAGCATATGCCCCTCCGTGCGCTTCCCACAGCGAGTCCGCCCAGGCAGGGTCCTGGGGAAGCCAGAGGCTCCTGCACTCACCCCCACTTCGCAGTCAGACGTCACTCTTAGCCAGCCAATAAAACAGGTTTATTAGATGACAGGAACACGGTCTAAAACAGAGCGTGTAGGTACAGAGAATGGGACCCCTCAGCCGGGTCCATTCTGGGGCCCAGCGAGGCAGACACCCACGTCTGCCCTCACTCCCCGTCCCCAGCCAGCGCCAAACTGCAACCCCCTCCAGCCCCTCCTTTCTGGCCTTTGTCTCTTTCCCAGGCCAGGAGGTCACCTGATCTCTTTGTTCACCTTTAGCTATCCCCTTGCAGGGGGGAAGGGTCCTGCCATTTGTTGCTAGGAGACAGAGTGTCGGCCATTTATGCACACTGGAGACTTAAGAAATGCATAGGGGAAACTGAGGCACACACACAGTATTCAGAGGAACCATTAAGAACAGTCCCACTTCATCACAAATACCTACTCTTTTTATCCCACTCCCGCTATTATGGCAGTGGGTCCTGTAGGATGCATGGGATTCTAGTTTCTTTGTGCCCCCAATCTCTTGTGCCTCCCTGCGGGGCATGCCCCCCACCAGCTTGTGCACCATTAACCTCCATCTCACTTCCTTTGTCTCCTCACGCTTTCTGAAAGCCAGTTCTCTGCCTCTGGCTGCAGACTCTTTTTGCTCCCCTCACCAGCACTGCTGTCAAGCTTCTCTTTCATTTCCAGCTACTCTCCCATGGCATCTTCTACAATCCAATCAACCTGCCTCACTCTTCTCTCCTACTCCTCTGGGTGGCTGTCATATCCCCCACCCCATCCTCCAACCTCTCTGATTTGATGTCTTTCCCTTTACTCTGCTGAACTGCATAAGGCCTCCCAATCATGGCCTGGACTGACTAACAATCTTGGTGACTCACTTGATGTGGTCTTCATCAAGCACTGCATGCCCTCTCTTTCCCCATCTCCTCCCCTTTCATCTCTGTTCCCTTATTTATTTGTAGTGTGGTAGCGCCTAGAGGCCCCATTCAGGGACCATGGCACAAGGGTGCTGCCCAAACAGGCAGATGGTCCCCACCTGAAGAGTTTAATCCCTTTCTCCACTCTCTGATTTCTTTCAAAATTGGGCACACTCGTCCACTTCCTCTTGCACAGTTCTGTGACTTCCCTCCTCTCCTGCCTTGCTCAGAGCACCTGCGCTACTCCAGCCTTCTTCGGTGTGTGAGATCTTGTCAACCACTTTTCCCCCAAACCTAAGGAAAAGCCCTTCCCTTACTGCCTCCTGCCCATTTCCTCTCCTCCCTTTCCCCTCAAACCTCTTTGGGGATGTGCCCTCTATCCACTTTGTTCTGGCTTCTCTCATCAGGGTCAGCACTGACCACCTGGACAAATCAGAAAGCCTGTTCTTTATTCATTCCACTCCAGATATTTGCGCCATTGTCTTCCCAGCTTACTCTGTTTATGACTGGTTGTCATCTGTGGGAGGCCTGGGTCACTCTTTGATCTGAAATTAATTTAGGATGGACAAACTGACTCTGGCAGCACCCTGGATCCTCAGAAACTTGCATAAATGACAAAGTGCTCACTAAACATTGGCCAGAAAATTGGATTTTGTATTTATCCTGGACAAAAATAAAACTCTGCCTCTGTGCAGTCTGAAATGAATTTCCAGTGAGCCTTGTCAGCCAGTTCCCAAATCCAGTGTGCTGTGCTGGCAGGTGAGTAGCATCTCATCAGCACTCATTTAAACATGGAACTGGGCCTGTTCTCACAAAATATGTAAAATATGCTTTAGCTGAATCTATCTGCTCTGCTTTCCCACCCTGCAAGAGTCATCAGCTAGCAAAAATGTGCAAGACTGAAAAGGCAAATCTTCCTTTTCCATATGTACACAATTACCTGTCTGACACCTACCAGCTGAGATGTGTCTGCACAAAATCACGCTTCCAGCTGCCTGTCTCACATCGGCATGGATTTCAGCACAACAGCAAAAGAATAAAAGACAGGCTGCTCCCACTGCCACCATGAAGCTTCCATTCTGCAGGGAAAAGATGTTCCTTAAACCTTTTGGAGCTACTCACGTCTTTTTTTTATTTTCCTCCCTGCTTTCTGGGATGGGAGCTGGGCTGGGCATGGCAAGGCTTGCTGCCACAAGCGTCAGTGCTGGGATTAGGCCAGAGCTGAGCTTCAGTAGATTAAGGAGGAGGCCAGACTAAACGAGCCCCAGTATCTCCTGGGCAAAAATGACAAGAACATAAGAACAGCCAGACTGGGTCAGACCAATGGTCCATCCAGCCCCGTATCCTGTGCTCTGACAGTGGCCAGTGCCAGGTGCGCCAGAGGGAATGAACAGAACAGGGAATCATCAAGTGATCCATCCCCTGTCGCCCATTCCCAGCTTCTGGCAAACAGAAGCTAGGGACACCATCCCTGCTCATACTGGCTGTAATTGATGGACCTATCCTCCGTGAACTTATCGAGTTCTTTTTTTGAACCCTGTTATAGTCTTCGCCTTCACAACATCCTTTGGCAAGGAGTTCCACAGGTTGACTGTGCGTTGTGTGAAGAAATACTTCCTTTTATTTGTTTTAAACCTGCTGCCTATTCATTTCATTTGGTGACCCCTAGTTCTTGTGTTATGAGGAGTAAATAACACTTCCTTATTTACTTTCTCCACACCAGTCATGATTTTATAGACCTCAGTCATATTCCCCTTAGTCGTCTTTTTTCCAAGCTGAAAAGTCCCAGTCTTATTAATCTCTCCTCATACGGAAGCCGTTCCATACTCCTAATAATTTTTGTTGCCCTTTTCTGAACCTTTTCCGATTCCAATATATCTTTTTTGAGATGGGGCGACCACATCTGCATGCAGTATTCAAGATGTGGGCGTAACATGGATTTATATAGAGGCAATATGATATTTTCTGTCTTATTATCTATCCCTTTCTTAATGATGCGCAACATTCTTTCGCTTTTTTTGACTGCTGCTGCACATTGAGAGGATGATTTCAGAGAACTATCCACAATGACTCCAAGATCTCTTTCTTGAGTGGTAACAGCTAAGTTAGACCCCCATCATTTTATATGTATAGTTGGGATTATGTTTTCCAATGTCCATTACTTTGAATTTATCAACACTGAATTTCATCTGCCATTTTGTTGCCCAATCACCTAGTTTTGAGAAATCCTTTTGTACATCTTTGCAGTCTGCCTGGGACATAACTATCTTGAATAGTTTTGTATCATCTTCAAATTTTGCCACCTCACTGTTTACCCCCTTTTCCAGATCATTTATGAATATGTTGAACAGCACTGGTCCCAGTACAAACCCCTGGGGACACGACTATTTACCTCTCTCCATTCTGAAAACTGACCATTTATTCCTACCCTTTGTTTCCTATCTTTTAAACAGTTATCAATCCATGAGAGGACTTTTCCTCTTATCCCATGACAGCTTACTTTGCTCAAGAGCCTTTGGTGAGGGACCTTGTCAAAGGCTTTCTGAAAATCTAAGTACACTATATCCACTGGGTCCCCTTTGTCCACATGCTTGTTGACCCCCTCGAAGAATCCTAGTAGATTGGTGAGGCAAGATTTCCCTTTACAAAAAACATGTTGACTCTTCCCCAACAAATTATGTTCATCTATGTGTCTGACAATTTTGTTCTTTACTAGTTTCAACCAGTTTGCCCTGTACTGAAGTCAGACTTACCAGCCTGTAATTGACGGGATCACCTCTGGAGCCCTTTTAAAAAATTGGCATCACATTAGCTATCCTCCAGTCATTTGGTACAGAAGCTGATTTAAATTATAGGTTACAGGCTGCAGTTAGTAGTTCTGCAATTTCACATTTGAGTTCCTTCAGGACTCTTGGGTGAATACCATTTGGTCCTGGTGACTTATTACTGTTTAATTTATCAATTTGTTCCAAAACGTCCTCTAATGACACCTCAATCTGGGACAGTTCATCAGATTTGTCACCTAAAAAGAATGGCTCAGGTGTGGGAATCTCCCTCACATCCTCAGCCGTGAAGACCGATGCAAAGAAT